GGAGCAGGGCTGCAGCCGGCCGCCGGCCGTGCCCAGACCACCCCAGCCCACCACGAACCAGAGCCCGGGGACAGGCCAGCAGCCAGCTGCCCCGTCACTGGAAGCGGTGACCACAGACAGGCTGGGGAACAAAATATACACCTCCTACCTCATCAAAGACTTTATTGACAAATCTCTATCACAATCAGCTGTTGGACAGGAGGGAGGACATCCAGGGACCGCTGGGCTCGGGCCACAGCAGCATCAAGACCCTCTCCCTGTCCGTCCCTCGCGGGAGCCGAGCAGGCGGCCGTCCCCGCTCTCAGGAAAGGCAGCAGTGGTGTCAGGCACTCTATGGGGACTAAGGGGAAGGGGCGGTCGGGGCGGCCACAGGAGCAGGCAGCACATCACCAACTGGTGACACCACAGATGGCTTCGCCGTAGAGGTCTACAGCTACAGCAGTGTTTTGGAGGGCCACTCCAGCTCCTGGGACCAGGCCCCGGCCAGATGGCTCCTCAGCTCTTCTTCTTCTTCAGCATCTCCATGTACATGCGGAGTGACTTCTGGATGGACTCTTTCGAAATGAAGCTGATGAAGTTTTGAATGTCTTCCTCTCGGTGAGCTACCAGGCGGTCCAGGATTGCCTTCCTCATCATGGATTTGGTGAGCTGACGGGCATGGTCTGCGGAGAGGAGAGCAAGGATGGGGAACGCGTGCGGTCCTCGCCCCCGACCAGCTCTCAGCCGCTGCTGCCATGCGCAGGTCCCTCCGTAGGGGAGGTACCACACACCAAAGGGCTCTTTAAACCAGCAGGGAAAGGTGGAAGAAAAACCCACCGGCTGGAAGTGAACTGGATAAATTCTCCTATAATAAATTATGATCTGTACCGCTCAGTGGGGAAACGACTGATCTACCGCGACAGATGACAAGAAGTTGTGCACCTCATCCTCTTTGCACCCCCCGGAGCCCAGTCCCCGGCCCAATACACACCACCGGGCTCAGGACAGCAGTAACCCAACAAAACTCTCCGCTGTTTGAAACTGCTCTGGCTCTAAGCTCCCTCAGCCCAACCCCTCTGACCTCTGGCAAGACAGTCTGCCCATGCCAAGCATGCCGTAC